TCAACTTAACCAGTCAAACACTATCATTTACTCAACTTAACCAGTCACATACCACCCCTAACCAGTCATATATCACACCTTACATTAAGGGAACTTAACCAGTCACATACCACACCTTCAATTCAGTCATTTTAACCAGACACACATCGCATCTTATATTTAGTCAAGCTAACCAGTCGCATAACACACCTTACATTAAGTCACTTTAACCAGTCACATACCCCCCCTACAATTCAGTCATCTTAACAAGGCACATACCGCATCTTATATTTAGTCAACTTAACCAGTCACATAACACACCTTAAATTTAGTCAACCTAACCAGTCACATACCACCCCTTACATTTAGTCGACTTAACCAGTCACATACCGCCCCTTACATTCAGTCAACTTAACCAGTCATATACCACACCTTACATTTAGTCAACTTAACCAAACACATACCGCATCTTATATTTAGTCAGCTTAACCAGTCACATACCACACCTTCAATTCAGTCATTTTAACCAGACACACATCGCATCTTATATTTAGTCAAGCTAACCAGTCGCATAACACACCTTACATTAAGTCACTTCATTCAGTCAACTTAACCAGTCATATACCACACCTTACATTCCCTTACATTAAGTCAACTTAACCAGTCACATATCACAACTTACATTTAGTCAACCTAACCAGTCATATATCACACCTTACATTAAGTCAACGTAACCAGTCATATACCCCACCTACAATTCCGTCATCTTAACCAGACACATACCGCATCTTATAGTTAGTCAACCTAACCAGTCACATAACACACCTTACATGTAGTCAACCTAACCAGTCACATACCATACCTTATATTTAATCAACTTAACCAGTCACATACCACCCCTAACCAGTCATATATCACACCTTACATTAAGTGATCGCATACCACACCTTACAGTTAGTCAACTTAATCAGTCACATACCACACCTTACATTTACTAAACTTAACCAGCCAAACACTATCATTAAGTCAGCTTAAACAATAATACCACACCTTATATTTAGTCAATTTAACCAGTCACATACCTCCCTTTACATTAATTCAACTTAATCAGTCCCATACCACACCCTACCTTTAGTCAACTTAACCAGTCATATACCACACCTTACATTTAGTCAACTGAACCAGTCACATACCACACCTTATATTTTATCAACTTCACCAATCACATACCACCCTTTACATTACATTAATTCAACTTAACCAGTCATGTCACATACCACACCTTATATTTAATTAACTTAACCAGTCACATACAACACCTTACATTTAGTCAACCTAACCAGTCATATACCACACCTTACATTCCCTTACATTAAGTCAACTTAACCAGTCACATACCGCACCTACAATTCAGTCATCTTAACCAGACACATACCGCATCTTATAGTTAGTCAACCTAACCAGTCACATAACACACCTTACATGTAGTCAACCTAACCAGTCACATACCACACCTTACATTTGGTCAACTTAACCAGACACATACCGCATCTTATATTTATTTAACCTAACAAGTCACATAACACACCTTACATGTAGTCAACCTAACCAGTCACATACCACACCTTATATATAATCAACTTAACCAGTCACATACCATCCTTCACATTAATTCAACTTAATCAGTCACATACCACACCTTACATTTAATCAATTTAACCAGTCACATACCACACCTTATATATAATCAACTTAACCAGTCACATACCACCCCTAACCAGTCATATATCACACCTTACATTAAGTCAACGTAACCAGTCATATACCCCAGCTACAATTCAGTCATCTTAACCAGACACATACCGCATCTTATAGTTAGTCAACCTAACCAGTCACATAACACACCTTACATGTAGTCAACCTAACCAGTCACATACCACACCTTACATTAATTCAACTTAACCAGTCATGTCACATACCACACCTTATATTTAATCAACTTAACCAGTCACCCAGTCACATACCACACCTTATATTTAATACCACACCTTATATTTAATCAACTAAACCAGTCGCATACCACACCTTATATTTAGTCAACCTAACCAGTCATATACCACACCTTACATTTAGTCAACTGAACCAGTCACATACCACACCTTATATTTAATTAACTTAACCAGTCACATACAACACCTTACATTTGGTCAGTTTAACCACATACCACACCTTATATTTACTCAACTTAACCAGTCAAACACTATCATTTACTCAACTTAACCAGTCACATACCACCCCTAACCAGTCATATATCACACCTTACATTAAGTCAACGTAACCAGTCATATACCCCAGCTACAATTCAGTCATCTTAACCAGACACATACCGCCTCTTATATTAAGTCAACTTAACCAGTACTTAACCAGTCACATACCACCCTTTACATTAAGTCAACTTAACCAGTCACATACCACCCCTTACATTAAGTCAATGTAACCAGTCACATCCCCCACCTACAATTCAGTCATCTTAACCAGACACACACCGCATCTTATCTTAACCAGACCCATACCGCATCTTATATTAAGTCAACTTAACCAGTACTTAACCAGTCACATACCACCCTTTACATTCATTCAACTTAATCAGTCCCATACCACACCCTACCTTTAGTCAACTTAACCAGTCATATATCACACCTTACATTAAGGGAACTTAACCAGTCACATACCACACCTACAATTCAGTCATCTTAACCAGACACATACCGCATCTTATATTTAGCCAACCTAACAAGTCACATAACACACCTTACATGTAGTCAACCTAACCAGTCACATACCACACATTACATTAATTCAACTTAACCAGTCATGTCACATACCACACCTTATATTTAATTAACTTAACCAGTCACATACCACACCTAACATTCAGTCAACGTAACTTACATTTAGTCAACTTAACCAGACACATGCAGCATCTTATATTTAGTCAACCTAACCAGTCATATACCACACCTTACATTCCCTTACATTAAGTCAACTTAACCAGTCATATACCACACCTTACATTAAGTCAACTTAACCAGTCATATATCACAACTTACATTTAACCAACTTAACCAGTCACATACCACACCTTCAATTCAGTCATTTTAACCAGACACACATCGCATCTTATATTTAGTCAAGCTAACCAGTCGCATAACACACCTTACATTAAGTCACTTTAACCAGTCACATACCACACCTACAATTCAGTCATCTTAACAAGACACATACCGCATCTTATATTTAGTCAACTTAATCAGTCACATACCATATCTAATAATTAATCAACTTAACCAGTCACATACCCCACCTTACATTTAGTCAACTTAACCAATCACATACCCCACCTTACATTTAGTCAACCCAACCAGTCACATACCACACCTTACATTTAGTCAACTTAACCAGTCGCATACCACACCTTACATTTAGTCAACTTACCCAGTCATATACCACACCTTACATTCAGGCAACTTAACCAGTCATATACCACCCCTTACATTCAGTCAACTTAACCAGTCACATACCACCCCTAACATTTAGTCAACTTAACCAGTCACATACAACACCTTACATTTAGTCAACTTAACCAGTCACATACAACACCTTACATTTAGTCAACCTAACCAGTCACATACCACACTTTGCATTCAGTCAACTTAACCAGTCATATACCACACTTTACATTTAGTCAACTTAACCAGTCACATACAACACCTTACATTTAGTCAACTTAACCAGTCACATACAACACCTTACATTTAGTCAACTTAACCAGTCACATAACACACCTTATATTCAGTCAACTTAACCAGTCATATACCACACCTTACATTCGGTCAACTTGACCAGTCACATACAACACCTTGCAGTTAGTCAACTTAACCAGTCACATACCACACCTTACATTCAGTCAACTTAACCAGTCATATACCACACCTTACATTCAGTCAACTTGACCAGTCACATACAACACCTTACATTTGGTCAGTTTAACCAGTCACATACCACACCTTACAGTTAGTCAACTTAACCAGTCACATACCACACCTAACATTTAATCAACTTAATCAGTCACATACCCCACCTATCATTTAGACATCTTAACCAGTCACATACTAAACCTACCATTTAGTCGACTTAACCAGTCACATACCACACCTAACATTCAGTCAACGTAACCAGGCATTTACTACACCTATCATTTAGTCAATCTAACCAGTCACATAAAACACCTACGTTTTACTCAACCTATCTCACAAATGTAACAACTAGTATTAAGTTATTAAGGGTATATGTCACATCGTACTTGTATTTAATAGTTCGTCACATGGTGTGCACCAAATTGTTAAAATAAAACCGAGAAATACTACTGAGACGGTCACCAAACAGTGTTCCTGCTATAGTAGTAATTGTAACGAAAACGAGGGAACGGACGTTAACTAGTGTTGTGATATACACGCTCTCTAAACCTATATTTAACATACCAACTTCCCACATTATGTCGATATGCCACTTGAGTTTTTTTCCTCACATTATGCAAACAAATTTTAACAACAATTATAACAACAATAATTTAAACTTATATAAGTCATTCTTGGTGGCCCGAATGTAAGCGCCGCATTTGGAAGGAACCCGGAGTACCCGAGAAAACCCTACGTGCTCGGTTAAGTACCCCATATACCTTTTTACCTCTGGTCGGGGAATCGAACTCCGGTCGCCTTGGTGATAGGTGCGTAGACTATCCACGGCGCCACCAACCGACACCATATTATATCAAATTCGACATGCTCTTCATCACGTTTGTGTTGGTTTTTATCTTCCGATAAAGTTTTCTCTAACAATACTAAATTATTCATATAAAACCTATGAACATGAACATATATATTGACTTCAATAGTATATGTATTCCTGGTTTCACTTCTGACGATGCAAAACAGCTGTAGCATCTTGGTATATTCACTATATTAATTCCTCCTCTCAAACTTAAGATACAAATCCAATGAAATGTTCCCCAGCTTTAACACCTGGATAGGAACCTGAAATGTTAATAGCCAAGGCGTTTATAATGTTATATGTGTTGTGTTTTAATTTATCTGAAATGGACCATATGTGAATATTGATATTGTTTTCTAACCAGACGAAGGTTGTTGCAGGTTGTTTTGTTTATTCATCTATGAATCATATGGATAAATAACACTTTTATCTTCGAAATGAAAACGGTCTAAACGCATGTGTCTATATATAACTGTGATTGTCAATAGTAATGGAATGTGGGGATAAGTGATTTTAAAATTAATACCTTTGTCTGCGGTCCTATAACAGGTCGATATTCCTGAAGCATTCTGGCGATAAGAGTTTTTATTTCTAGGAGAGCAAGCCTCATCCCAGCACAGTTACGGGGCCCAGCACCGAATGGCATGAAGACGAATGGGTCCCTGTTAGCCTTGGCCTCTGGTGTAAATCTGTGACATTATTTTAAATAGGTATAATAATCAACTAATTTAAGCAAATGATAATTATGGTACACGTAATACATTATATTGCATTATGTACAAATGACACTCGCTATAGTTAGCGTTTAGGAGTTGAATTTCAATCCGCTAACATTTCACCGATCTTGTAACTTCCATTCCTGCTTCATATTTGTATACTAATGAGAAGATGTTAGCTTTATAAGTTTTACATAAGTATAAGATCGGCCTGGTCCACATCTGTCCAGCGCGTTCAATTGGGGCACACGATATGATGGCATTGCCAATTTTAACGCTGCCAATTACTATTGACAGTTTGTAGTATAAAATTCACGGTTTCAAATATGACCTATCCAGCCTTCCCCTTAACGACCCTCGAACTAGATCAGCCTTCAAATTGATATGGGGGTCTCAGATTGATAAAGAATAAGATAAAGAATGAGATAAAGAATAATCGATGTGATAAGTTATAAGTATTATTCATTCTGACCTAAAATTAGAAAGAAAAAGTTGAATTTAGACATTCCCGTTAAGTAGCCAAACTATTTGCTTTAATATGAAATATGTTCAGGTTCCTCTAACGGGTGATTAAATCGAGATCGTAATAAGATTTTGTTCCCAAATTACAGGGGTGTCTTGAATATCACGTTTCCGCACTACATGTACGTGTATTTGTCTCACCATGTCAGCTTACCTTTCCGGGTCAAATTTCTCTGGTTCAGGCCAGTACTCGGGATCCATATGTATGGCACCCACCGGTATATTTATAATCATTCCTTTCGGGATCCTGATATTTCCGATGGTGACGTCATTGCTAGCCATACGGTCAATTCTATATAGATAGACCACAAAAAGTTGAACTAATCTATATCCGGAAAGTCCATTTAGGTCGGCTTATATTTTACTACTGAGTCAGTTAGATCTGTATATTAATGTCATTATTCAAAAGAGCTAAATATTGTCACGAGATCAGGATATCAAGGTTTTAGACAAACAATCGCAAAAGAATAGAAATAGATACATAGTATAACAATGGGTGCAGCCAGATATCAATATATAACTCTAAACAGAGGACACAGTTTGAATTTAGTGCAAATAAGTCAAGGTAATTTCGTTAATCAATTCCTTTCAAACAAGTATGTCGGACAATTGTTAAGGGCAATCCGAGTAACGTAATGATAACTAAACACCAATGAAACATTACAATCAATTACAATTCTTAACATGGCTGTAAAGGATATCGACAGGATTACAGCAATATCAAATATGACTGAATATGTCTAAATAGCAATGCGCATTATCTTAATCGGAAGAATTTCTAGGACATCTTGAAGCCTTTATATGCTTTATAAAATCGTCTTTTGTGACTTCAGTGGAAGCACAACCTCAAGACGGGTACAACAATGGAGCGGAAGTTAATATTTACAAAGTTAGCTCCTTATTTGGATTCTTCATGGAGTTTTACCTTGCTGCAGCAGAACAGCCTCATTGTCTCGTGGACACACATTTCCAAATAGCAGAGATTGGTTACGTTGTCATAGTGAGGGGCCTCCTATAACAATAACACATTGTGAGAACGATAAGGCTAACGGTTAATATAGTGTTCCCCTGTATAGGATGAATAATTTATCTTATTTATACACATGACATAACTTTATACAATGAAACGTTAAACATCGATGGTGCCATTAACAGAGAAGGGTAAGTTTGCACCATCGTTCTCTTCTACTCTTTTTGTGACCGTTTATTTTATTCTTGTCAATAATCCGTTCTTTTCAAACAATGTTTTTCTCAAATAATCTTGAAACATTAGTTGCACTTGAATGTACCTCACTAAAGAAAGATTTGTAAAGTCAGAACAGGAAAAAAGAAGATAAAAGGCAGAATAACATATATTACTGTTTATAACTACCTATGCTGTGACTGACCACGCCTCAGACTTAAACCCTACAGTACCAACCCCTTTTACTGATGTCAGTGAAGGTTTACCTACCCCACGTAATCCTGCATCAATTTCTTGTAGGACTTTGTCACAGATATCAGGGTAGATTGCCAGATGGTACATGATGAAGCAAAGAGTGTTGGAGGTCGTGTCATATCCAGCAATGAAAAACAGTGTAGCCTGGGCTGTTATCTCGTCCGCAGTTAGTGCGAAAACACACCCAAGCAATTAATGTTAGTTTTCATAGAAAAAAATATATGGATGGAGGACGAAATCAGTTGTTATACTGTAAGGAACGGCAACTAAATGTGTAGTCTGTAGTGCATAACTATTCACTGTATAAACATGGTAATCTTTTCAAATGACAATAATATTTTATAAATAAAGAATGAATAAATGTAGTATCTCTTAATTCGCCATTTTGTAATATTTAATGACAAGGGGCCAAAGGGCCTTTACCTCTGTTGTTATGTATGTTTGCATATTGTTGACATTTGAAGTGGACATAAGGATGTCAACAAAGAAATTTACATCATTCGTCATATCACAAGGCCGTCCTTAAATGCCCATAGCTGTTGATAGGACGTTAAACAATACTAAACCAAACCTTCGGCTGAGGTAGCCTTACAAGTTGATAATATACAGTTAGAGTATGGGGTTGAGGGATATAGCAAGTTTCTGGTGTCCCGAGACCAGGTCTATTTCCCGAGGCGAAGCCGAGGGAAATAGGCATGGTCAAGGGACCCCAGAAACTTGCTATATATGCCTCAACCCCATACTTTAACCGTTTTATTATACCGATACACACTGGAGAGATAGTTTTAACTAGAAAATATTTGTAAACCAGCAAGCTCCGCCCACCTCGCGCGTCACTGTAGAGTAAATAAAGTAGAGGTGTAATAATAGGTATTATCAACTTGTAAGGCTACCTCAGCCGAAGGTTTGGTTTAGTATTGTTATTATACCTCTACTTGATTTACTCTATATAAAAGTAATTGGTTAAATCGAATATATCCCCACTTTTGCCTGACTGTGTTTTAGTCCTGTGTGTTAGTCTGGGAACTAAAACACACCTACACTCGGGTGTTTCCGCCAAGCCAATCAGGCGAGAGGTGGGGGGAGCTTGCTACCGAACTCGGAAGCATTTGGCTCCATTGCGATCAAAGGGGTAGGTGGGACATGAAGCTATACAGCTTATGGTTTACAAATATTTTCAAGTTTAAACTATCTCTGCAGTGTGTATCGGTATAATAAAACGGTTAAAGTATGGGGTTGATGGATATAGCAAGATTCTGGTGTCCCTTGACCATGCCTATTTCCCGAGGCGAACTGCTCTTGGGACACCAGAAACTTGCTATATCCCTCAACCCCATACTCTAACTGTATAATAACAAATATAAGATATCTTCTATCATTACTTCTGTCAAGGACTATTTATCCTCAATACAGCCTTAGTTTTTCGCATCCATGTTGACGATGGTTGGCTAACATCGTTTTCTTTGCTTTCTGTATCTGCTTCTTCCTGCTTTGCTTTCACATCTCTGTCTTCGGTATTAATCAATATTCCGAAAAAAAAGGGGGTTTTCTGCGAAGAAAAAAAAAAATCTTACATTTTAATTCTCCCTAATCTCTGACTGCATTCCACAACCTTATATTTAAATGGAATCAACCTTTGAAAATCGAGGTTATTTTCATTTGGATATTTTCTTGTTTAGTTCATGACAATTTCGCTTAAAAACCGTTCCTTTAACGTACCCCTTGGGATTTCCGTCTCCCCTCTAAGGCTTTTTCTGTGACACGTGTGAAAAAGGTAGTAGCAGCTTTTGCTTCTGTGAGATTGATCCCAAGAAAATCGCATAGTCTCAAAACCCAACCAAGAAAAGGAAGAAAGACTGAAAAATACAGAAGCATGATAATTTAGACTCCAAACAAACCCTAACGTATTTTTTCTATTCAATTTCTTAAATAAAGATATTAAATTGATATTTACAAACATTTGTAACTATGAGGATATGAGGTATCGGGTCATAACCACGTTTGTGACAATAACGAATTGAGGTATCGAGTCATAGCAACGACTGTAACAGTAACGAATTGAGGTATCGAGTCATAGAAACGACTGTAACAGTAACGCATCGAGGTATCGAGTCATAGCAAGGACTGTAACAGTAACGAATTGAGGTGTCGAGTCATAGCAACGTCTGTAACAGTAACGCATTGACGTATCGAGTCATAGCAACGCCTGTAACAGTAACGCATTGGGGTATCGAGTCATAGCAACGTCTGTAACAGTAACGCATTGAGGTATCGAATCATATAAAAAACTGTAACAGTAACGCATTGAGGTATCTAGAAATAAAATCCGCTGAAAGTAATTATAAATTTAGGTTACGAGTTATAAACAAAGTTTGAGACAATTATGAATTGAGGTATCGAGTCATAACCACGTTTGTGACAGCAACGAATTGAGGTATCGAGCAATAAAATCCGCTGAAAGTAATTATAAATTTAGGTTACGAGTCATAAACAAAGTTTGAGACAATTATGAATTGAGGTATCGAGTCATAATAACGTTTTATAACAATTAGGAATTGAGTTATCGAGTCATAACAACGTTTGTAACAATTACTCATTTTGATACCGAGTCATATAAACGTTTATAACAATTAAAAATTCAGGTATTGAGTCATATCAACGTTTGTAACCTTTATGAATTAAGGTATCGAGTCATAACAACGTTTGTAACAATTACTCATTGAGATATCGAGTTTGTTATGCATATCCAGACTATCAGCTCGATAAAGAAATATCCTTCAACACATATCACGATCTACAGGTAATGCATGCATTTTAACCTCTGTGTACATCATTTCAGGACCAAATAATTAAAAATTGACTTTTATTTCCGAGAAATAAGCTAATTGGTGTTTTTTTGTGAACAAAACTGTTCGTACCGTCAAGGTTCTAATGACGTTGTTAATCATTTTAGTAAATTGCATACACACTACTACGAGTTACACAGTCTTCTTCACTTACAAACAATAATCATCATAAATGCAAGAGCTTTTGAATAGGTGAAAGTCCGGATTTGCTTCGTGAAAGGATCATCCGGGTTATTCTGGCTGTCCACGTCCAGACCAAAATCTGTACTGGCAATCACATCCATTGTAAAACCTCCTATGAACCTGTGCAGAAATGCTTTTAATTGGCTTAAGTTTACAGTAGAAAATAAACAAGGGACAAACTTACCATGATTTGTGCTTTATGTACATTAACACGAAACTTTCCGTATTCTATTTTGATGCAGTTCCACTTTTTTCTCTCGAATATATTCGGGGGCCAGCCCAGTTTATATGTTCATGGATGGATTTCGACCAAATGTATTCGCTTGGTGTTTTATTGTTCATCGCAAAATCATATATTCTCTTAATCATCAACTGCTAACAGCGGACCGTTAGGGACCTTACATTATTACGGTTACCGGGTACTTTTCACCCAAATTATAATAATAATCAATACTAAAAAGACACTTACTTTTTCATGTCGATGTCTTGATCTTCTTTTCTTTTTCTTTCTATGTTTTCCATGAATTTGTCGGCAGAGCTGTTTATTAATGGTGCCATCTAAAGACAGGTAAAGTAGAGACATACGTTCCAATGTTATACCAACTATTGTATTTATCCCACAATCCTGAACTGGTTATTATAGTGGGTGTCGGTACAAACATTGTCCTAACCCAGTGACAAGGTTGTTTTGAGCCGAGGGAGAGATGTAAAAGTAAAATACTACTTTGATCAGTACACAAGATTTATTGTAGATTTATCGGCTCAAATGCGTTTGTGAAGGTAGGAAAAGTTAACCAGAGAGGTTTTGGATTTAAATAACTCTTAGGCTTTGAAATGAATTTACTCCTTATTTTTTAACCAAAGAGAGACGTTTTCTTCTAATGATTTTACAATACATGTTTTTCTATATCTTTCAAACAAAAAATGTCAAAATGAAAGTAGTGTGTGCAATAAATGATGTTCATGTCCAGGCCAACACCGGACAAATAATATCGTAAAATATCTAGAGTCACCTCAACCACCAATAGGTTTATCACCAAAAATGCTAGAATGGAAGACAAATATCTATCTACCTGACGCAGCCTCTTGCCACTAAATGTTGGGGTGATGACGTTCCGAACAAATCGCCAGTGGTCATCCTCCAGTTGTGTAACCATTGTTGACATCTTGCGGTCGGTAAACTTTGTAAATGTGTTCTAAAGAGTTGAAGAAAGAACCATACATCAACAAGAATTCGACATATTTCTAAACTAACTATGCGAGAAATACACCATTTGCAGGTAGTCATGTTGTAATAACATACAAATACTTTCATCCATGAAACCAACGTGTACATATATAAACAAGCTCGTTTCAGATACATTCTCACAAATTAAGCACTCAGATTATTGATAATTTATCAATACATCATATTAGCTTTAATTCATTTGAAAACTCCTATGAACGTTAGTTTGTAGTTGCTGTTTAATATAATATTTACCCGTCTGTTGACGAAACTTTTGAATTCCTTCACCATGATATGCTTCAGGAGAGCCGGATCAGCAATGTACAGGACCGGGATATACGACTCATACATTCTGTTATAACAAAATATATGTTTATTGTTTACGTTCTTATTGTAATTTTGTTATTCCAAATCGGGCTAAATATCCAGATGGATCATACTTATAAAGAAAATATCTTTTAATGTGAACAAATCAACTCAATTTTTGTCCTCTGTTATTGCCTGCGTGGGGTTAACTTGATATGGCTGTGAAGTACCAACATTGAATATACACTGACTGCAAAACTAGCAAAGTCTGTGATACAATTGTATAAAAATAAATAGTCCCAGCAAATACAAAGCTAAGCTCCACAGGGGTATATGTACTTGGTCAGTAAGAATATGGACACCACAATAAAGTAAATTCAAACAATTTTGTTAATTAAGAATCGATTATGATTGTACATTAAGGTACTTTTACGCTTACACTTCTGGAATACATGATCGCATCCCTTCGATGGGGTTTATTTGTATTCTATACTTACCATTTACACGGATGCATTTCAAAGACATCCAAGTTCGAGTTCCGCATGCCTTATTCCTCAGGGGTATTGTGCATGAAAAAACCTACTGAAAATCGCTATATGCTTGCGTGTTCTTTACTTCGTGATCTTTGTCTCGGCTTTATCGGGATTACTTGAATTAGCAATTGCCATGATATTTTATCAATATTGGTACTCATTATCTATTAAATAATTATTTATGAAATGTTTTAATTCGCGATAAAGTCTTGTCATAAATTAGTACAAAAAGAAATATCTTAGGAAAATATATTGATTCAAAGTATTTAATACATGTTAATAGCTGTTTTGATAGCCTACAGGTATAACCATGACGTATTAAAGCGTACTACAGTCATTATTTATCAATGTAAAACTTTTGTCAGAATTGTCTGCTACAATAAGTGTTGTTACGAGTGACGTAACCTAAAGTACTGCTTTACCGCTTGTATATGGAACTGAAGCAAATCCTTCAAACAGACAGCATCCAAACATTTCCAATGTCAGGAAATGTTTTAGTTACAGTATTTGGGAAACGATTATTTTCCTATTACACCATTATACACTTATTGTATATATACGCATCCATGGGACATGATAGTTATGTACAGGGTCTCACTTACTGGAACTATCTTTTAAATTAGAAATGGAAAAAATTACATTGCGATGTATTTAATTAGGAAAAGGATATTCTAATATTCTAAATGATATTCTAAATATGAATGAATGGGAATAATAATCCATTTAAATTTAATTTCAAAACCTAATGATATATATTTTTCGAAAAACAATTTTAAGGACTTACCCAAATACTTTGCCATATTTGCGGTACATATTTCGTTCCGTCTGAACCAGTCCCTGGCATACCAAACAGGATGACAAGGTGAACATTTGCAAAAAATGAAAAATCGAGAAAAAGAAACCCGAACAGGTCACAAGTTTTAAAGCACAAATACATGTTTATAAAAATAAGTCGGAAAGTAGCAGGTGACATGCGATTTGTGATGAATATGTCTCCCTCGAGGCGGATGACAGTTCCTCCATGGTGTGTTCCCACAGCTTAGTGTAGTGAAGTTGTGTTACAGTGTATGACTAATGGATAATATCATTGACAATCTCACTCAATAACACTTAGTGTAGTGAAGTGCGTTACAGTGTAGGTCGAATGGGTACTATCATTGGCAGTCTCACACAATAACGAGTGTAGGTCGAATGGGTACTATCCTTTACAGTCTCACACAATAACTCTTACTGTAGTGAAGTGTGTTGCAGTGTAGGTCGAATTGGTACTATCCTTGACAATCTCACACAATAACGAGTGTAGGTCGAATGGGTAATATCCTTGACAGTCACACACAATAACGTTTAGTGTAATGAATTGTGTTACAGTGTAGGGCGAATGGGTACTATCGTTGGCAGTCTCACACAATAGCTCTTAGTGTAGTGAAGTGTGTTACAGTGTAGGTCGAATGGGTACTATCCTTGACAGTCTCACACAATAACTCTTAGTGTAGTGAAGTGTGTTACAGTGTAGGACAAATTGGTACTATTCTTGACAGTCTCACACAATAACACTTAGTGTAGTGAAGTGTCTTACAGTGTTGGACTAATGGATAATATCCATGACAGTCTCACACAATAACACTTAGTGAAGTGAAATGTGTTACAGTGTTGGACTAATGGATAACATCCTTAACAGTGTCACACAATAACGCTTGGTGTAGTGAAGTGTGTTACAGTGTAGGACGAATGGGTACTATCATTGACAGTCTCACACAATAACGTTTAGTGTTGTGAAGTGTGTTACAGTGTAGGACTAATGGGTACTATCATTGACAGTCTCACACAATAACGTTTAGTGTTGTGAAGTGTGTTACAGTGTAGGACTAATGGGTAATATCCTTGACAATCTCACACAATAACGCTTAGTGTAGTGAAGTGTACAGTGTAGGACTCGTGGGTACTATCATTGACAGTCTCACACAATAACGCTTGGTGTAATGAAGTGTGTTACAGTGTAGGACTAATGGGTGCTATTCTTGACAGTCTCACACAATAACACTTAGTGTAGTGAAGTGTGTTACAGTGTAGGACAAATTGGTACTATCCTTGACAATCTCACACAATAACGCTTGGTGTAATGAAGTGTGTTACAGTGTAGGACTCACACAATAACGATTAGTGTATTGAAGTGTGTTACACTGTAGGACTCACACAATAACGATTAATGTAGTGAAGTGTGTTACAGTGTAGGACTAATGGGTACTATCCTTGACAGTCTCACACAATAACACTTGGTGTAGTGAAGTGTGTTACAGTGTAG